GCAGGATACACAGCACGACTTTAACTTTGACAGCGTTCCCCCTCCAGGTGTGTTATTCCCAGGATGTCACAGCCCCCGTGTGCCGCTCGTTACATGGCACACGACAGGTTCTGGGCAGTTTTTACCCCTCAGATATTTTCCAGTCGGACTAACAGGCTGATTTGCTGAGTTACCTGCTGGCAGCAGCAGCAGGAGAACGAGCAGCACATTCCCCTGCTGCCACCCCTGATCCATCAGCCATCCAGGAGCGTGGCAGGGAGAATCAGCTGCGGAGGAAAAAAGCTCCTTGCTCAGGACAGCAAATACTGACAGCTCATCCCCTGGTTCTCCCTGCACTGGCTCCCACAGTCCTGAGCAACTTCTTCCCAAAGCCACGGCACAGAGAAGCACAATTGTGGTTTGTAATGTCACCGCTGGAGCCCAGATCCACAGCTCGGATGCTTTGACCTTGTCTGCTGCACTCCTGCATTCAGATTTTTACATTAATCATCTCACTCCAGGTAAGTGCTTTTAAATTCGGCCGAATGGGGCATGAATCCTGCTGGATGGGAAACGCAGGTCTCTGCAGTGAGATGGATGAAGCCCTGCTGCACTCCCCGTTTTGTTCCAAGGCTTCAGCAGCAGTTGCCTGCTCTAATTCGAGCTGGGAAGACTCGCTGTAGGGTAATTAAGCACGTGGGGAGCTCAGGAGAGCCGCCTGCCAGCACCTGGCGGTGGGATTCCCCTTGCAGAGGCACCTGCACTAAATGGTAATTCCTTCCCTCCATTTCCCGCTCCAGTCCCGAGCCTCTCCCGGCAGCTCAGCTCGCAGAACAGATGGAGCAATCACCCTCCTCCTCCTCCTCCTCCTCCTCCTCCTCTCCCCAGCACGGACCCCTGCTGCTACCCAGCGCCTCGTGCCGCTGTAATACACATAATTAGGCAAATCAATGGACAATGCAGCATATTAGGGGAGGTGGAGTTACATCAAGGCAAAACACGCATCCCTATTTATTTACCGCAGGAAATGGGACATTTCTGCCTAATTGCCAAAAATTGCGGGCAGGAGATGGAATGTAATCACAGCCCTGGCAGGTAGGGTGCAGCCAGCAGGTCACTTACCTGCCTTGTCTGGGGCACAGCTGAGGGGAACCCGCTCTCATCTTGATATTCTGTTGATTTATGCTTTAAACATCTCATTACCATTTGATGAGTTACGCTCCCAAATCTCTCACACATCCGTAATTAGAGAGAGGGATGTTTGCAGCCATCCACCCCACCGCTGACTCCAGACCAAAAGCAAAACTGGAGGTTGCAAAATGCAAAATGCAAACAAGCAGCAGCAGTGCCTGCCCTCCCTGGGAAGCTGAGCACACACAGCTGGCTCCTGACTGAAGAAGGGGCTGCTGAAATTCTCCTCCTGTGGCTCCCCAGCTTTGTTTAAGCTCAGTGCTGGCTCCCTGCTCAGCAGCTTCTCTGCTCTGCTTCTTGCAGCTCCCACCCCGTGGGAAGCAGGACATGGTGAGCTCCCACCACATCCCAGGGGCAGAATGAGAAAATAAATAATATTAAATAAAATACGTGGAGTTAAAGAGTGGGTGTGCTGCAGATGAGCACCCTGTGAGCAGAGATGGGGCCTCTCAGCAGAGCAGGGTGACACTCAGGAAGGGGGCTCTACATGGAGGAGTACAAGGCCAAATCAGTGATGAGTGAGAGAGGCTTTTACATTTCTGGGCTCTTCTAGGAAGGTGACCCTCCTGCCAGGAGGAAATCTGTTTCCAGGTCTTCCCCACACCCAGGTTTTATCCTGGATAAAGTCAGCTGTGCCCCTGCCTGAGAAAAGGACCTGTCCCAGAGAGCCACCAAAGCCTTGTTCAGGAGGAGCTGAGGCCTCACAGATGCCCTGGACAGAGGGCTCAGAGGTGTTTTATGGAGCTGCTGACACACAGTGGAACACAGCCCAAGCCTTCAGACACATTACATTTTAGGAGGTTTCTAGGATCTGATTTTGGTCTGCTTTGTCAAATTTCCAGGGATTTGGAGGAGCAGTGACTGCAGCTGGTGTGGGTGAGCACCACAGCTCCCACAGCACCAATGGCCTCGAGTCACTTGGATGCTGATACACAGAAAGGTTTTTAAGAATACATCAGAAATTGCAGATTTTAGCTTCTCACCCTTGCTCTGCACAAGTCAGTAGCAGACTGAGAAATCTCCACTGTCAGATTTGAGTTTTATTGCTTTTTACTCTATTTCTGTGCTCCCCTTGCAGAGTTTGGACCCTCCTGAGTTAGGCCTGGTACCTCTGTGACTGGGGAAAATAATTCCATTTAAGTCACTCAGCATTAAAGAGAGGGACTGAGCACAGAGCTCCTGGGATCACTGGGGAGTTACATTATTGGACCTTGCTGCTTTCTAGACCTGAAACTTTTTGTCCTTTTCCCTGCTTATCACTTCTCCCACAGAAATGAGCTGCTCTTGGGTCAGAGCTGTCCTTCATGGAGCTCTGCCAATGCCTTAGTCCTCACCTAAGGGACACAGATTTTGTTTTTGTCTCCAAGCATCCTCACAGTGCCACCAACTGCGCTCAGTTGCTGCTGTGTGGTGCCTTATGATATGAGAAAACATTTAAAGAAATGCAAACCAACATTACCAAGTGCATTTTGGATCTGATCTCCGTCAGGTCACCAAATTCAGCATTTATCAAAACAGGACTGTTACTTCTCCACAACCTGAGGATATAAAAATAGCCTGATTTATGGGCACCACAATACTACAAACCCAGAGCTGTTGTGCCAATGCAAAATCATGCCTCACATGTGCCCACGTACCAGGAAAAGGGGGAGGAACAGATCCACGAGAGGCTCAGGGAACACTTGGGTGACTCACACAACTGCCACAGACACATTTGTTTGTTTGCTGTGAAGGTAAAAATGTCATCCACTGCTAAATGCTTAGGAAGGGTCTGCAGGTTCCCAAGGGACACTTCCCTGGTGCTCACCCAGCTCCCTGCAGGGCTTGGGGACCCTCTGTGCTCCCTGTGCCACCACAGCGGCTCCACATCCATTTTCTTCTCCCAGCTTATCTCCCCCCAGCTTTGGAGTGCATTCTTCCTTATCTTGGAGACAAATGGCCTCCACGGAGAGCTGTAAGCAGCAGAGCCATTTATCTGCCTGACATGTGTTTCCCTGTTTGTTTTCTGCAGCCTTGAGCCATGGGCTGGGCTGTGACAACGCTCAGCTGTGGCACTGCTGGAGAGTCACCCGGCCCCTTCACTCAGGGCTCTGAATCAATGCCTTGGCCATATTTATCATTTATTGCACTAAATCAAGTCTAATCGATGCTTTCTTGTTTTGACGTGCAGCAAAGCCCTTACAAGCTTTTCACAAATCTGTTTGGAATCAAGGAAAGCCAGGGGAAAAAAAAACGATATTTAATCAATTCAGCTCTAATTTTTGATTTGGAGAGAGAGGAAAATGTGGCACTGTTCCCATGAGAAAAAGGAATAAAAATCAAAACCCGCTTGTGTTTAGCTCCTTCTGATGGTTTCCAGCATTTCACTTGTTGCTTTTAACACCTTACAGTACTACATGAACAATGTCCCTCAGACATCTCCATCCTCTTCCAGCCAACTCCTGGATGCAAAGGCCTCCTTTCTACATAAATGTGACTTCTTAGGAGTTCCTTTTTGTGTGTATGTGGATTTTTTTTTTTTTTTTTGTCTTTTTTTGTTTTGGTTTGGTTTTCCCAAGTGTTGATACCTCACAGACTCAGTAAGCCTCAATTTTGGCTAAACAGTATTAAAGCTCCACTTTTCTCTTGGAAATGTCTCTGTGCATTCTTTCTGGAGAAGCAAAGCTTTCCTTTCACAGGCACTGCTCATCCTGACCCTCCACGTGTGCTGGGCAGTTCAGCCTCAGGTGAAATTCTGATCACCCCACAGGCAAAAGCTTCACATCCCACCCCTACAGAGGTCACATCAAATCGCCATCAGTCAAACCACAACAATCAACACCCCTTATCAACTCCACAACCAGAAATCAGAGTTTTACACAGGTTTTTCCAGCCCCTGGGCAGCTGCAGAAGCTCCTGAGTTCATCCCTGGAGTTGGGGGAGAGCAGGACCATTGCTCTTTTCTCCTGAAGTGCATTTCCCTCCTTCTCTCGGACTTTGGCAGCTCTGGTGTGGATTTTATTGCTGGCATTTAGAAGAATAAGTGCTCCCTGCCACACAGGATGGGAAAGGTTTCTCCCCCAGGGAACAGAACACAGAGACTGATTAAGAGAGCAGCAGGTATTTAAGAACATAAAAAATATTGGCAGGTGAGGGCTGCAGCTCTCACTGAGCAGGAGCTGGTGCAGGAACAGAGCTCACCTGCTGATTTCCAGCAGGGAACAGCACTGGTGAAGAATAAGTCCTTGAGCTTAGGATTTTTGTACACTTTAATAGAAAAAAGGTTGAAAAGTAATCAAAACTTGCTTCTGCAGAGGAGTGAATCAGATGCTCCTGTTGGGTCTGTGCTCCTGCTGAGCCACACCTGGTGGTCCATGCTCCATCTTCCCAAATCTCCTGCAGAAATTGGCTGACAAAAAAGGAGATGATTGGGAGCAGGCACCTGATTCCACTAACATAAATTAGCTAACAAACTGTATTAGCCTGACTGGATTATTTGAACATTTTAAAAGCAAAAAAAGAATAAATGAGCTGGCCAAAGGATAAACGTGGGCCAGACTAACAAAGGCAGGACTACCCAGGCCAGGTGTGTGCTCAGTCCTGCTCCAGGATCCACAAAGGGTGTTGCCCCTTCACTCTGGTTAACCCTGCTGTGGTGGAACTGAGAGCATCTGCAGAAAACCATTAAATAACTGGGATTTCTTTAAACAGCAACAGAAGTGTCCACATGTAGAAAATGCTCAAAAACAGCACAAAAAATGAACACATTACAAAACTGCTGAAAGAACTTAGGAAGAACTGCAGAAATATAAACTTTATCTTGTACACATAAAAGACACAGCCACTGGGTCTTGTACTGATGGCATAGAAATTTCCTTTATTTTGTACAAAAAATACAGAATTTATATATTTCAAAATAATTTGCGATCACTATTTAAACTTTTAAACTTATAACCATTATTTGTATGAAGCATTTCAAAATAACGGTACAATGTCATAAACAAGTTTATCCAAACATAATGAGGATATTTTTCAAGTAAATCCCAACAGCTAGAGAAAATTAAAATTAGTCATTTCAGTTGTATTTGATTAGGACATCATTCTATCACTGAATAAGCTTAATGAAAACAGTTTCTAGAAGTTTATTGAAATTATACATTCTCCCATCAAGTATACACTGTTGGACAAAAATAAAAATTAACTGCAAGAGTATCACACAGTCCTATCAAGTCTTTTCAAAGCAGTCTTGTCCTCCAACAGAAAAAGGAAAACATTTTTGTGCAGCACAGGACAGCCTTGGGACAGCTCCTTCTAGAACAAGCTGTGAGCTCGTGGGTCACACTGTGCTCCTGCAGTGTCCTTTAGTCTTCATCTTCATTTGTGCTGCAGAGAAAAAGCAATGGGTTGGGCTTGGGAGACACCTCCAAGAAATTTCCCTTCCCAGCAGCATCTTCCGAAAATCTGTCAGGCTCGGGTACAGGGTTTTCTTCTTGTTCCTGTGAAATGCAGCCTGCAGTAGCCAATCCTTCAGGCTGCTCTGAAAGTCTCATTGCAGACTGGATTTGCATTTCTAATTCTTCTACCAGTTTTCCAGGAGGAGTGGTAGATTGCAGGGAAACCTTTGATTTCCCATCCCCGACCTCCATCGCCCAAGTGTCTGTGCCCTGCCTCAATCCATTACAGTCAATAAGTGGAGCTGTCCTCTCCTCCTGCAGCGTGCCTTGCAAAGAATTTATTTCCCCATCTTCACTGGTCGAGGACTCCTGCTCATCTGAATCAGAGCCTTCTGTCTCAGATGATGAAGTGCTGCTGGATTCTTCAGAGTCACTTGTCTCCGACTCGGAGCAAAGCAGCTGTTGCTTGGAAACTGTGCCAGCAGCTTTTAACGCCTTCTCTTCCTCCTGTACCAGCACTGCTGCTGCTTCCAGCTCTTCCAGCTCCAGCCCCATGTGGGACTTGCTGAGTGTGGTTTTCTGCAAGGACTCACAGAGTGCAGCCAACTTTTTTGACCTTTAACAAAGAACAAGATATGTTATTGAACCTGACAAGCAGAACTTTCCCATTTGATAACGAGAACACCAATCTCAAACATTTCTTCCATTTGCTTGGTGTGCAAACAACTTTCTTCTGCAACCCTGACTGTAAGAGTGGATGTTACAGGAGGAAAAACAATCAGAAGGATTCCTAATTACAATTATTTAGGGTAACTTTTCCCACAAGGTTAGACAATATCCCACTGAAAAGGCTTTGAGGATACCTTCCTGAAAGATCCTGCTGTGGGATGCTTCAGCTGTGCACAGTGAGGGAGGAGAGATTCCAGAACAAACCTCTTCAGGTTTGCTGTCTTTAGCAGCACACTCTGCAGCACAGGGCTGGCTGGATGAAGTTTATGTGCAGCAAAATCATTTTGGTTTCCTACCCTCCCAGACATATCTGTGAAATGCATATGAACCAGGAGAACATTCTGATTAGTGATCCAGGCTCCTCCTCTCCCACCCAGCCTGCTCTCCCACGATCACAGGAGATGTTCCGTAACTCTGGCTGCAGATGTACTTCACCCTTCCCTTGGAATTCAGCTGAAATATCATTCAGCAGGAGTACCAGGACCATTTAGATAGATGCCCCTAATAAAGCAGACACACCAGACTGGCTTCAAATCTCTGGTGCAGCCCCATCCATTTCCTCCAGTGCTGGAAGCCAGCACATGCTTTACCAGGAAAGGGCACCATGGATTTATAAACAGAGACTCGAAACGGAGGGGGGTGAGGGCAGAGGGGAAAACAGGCATAAAAACCCAAACATACATCCTGTTTCTTGTTGTGGAGTTTTGCCTCAGACTATCAATCAGCTTTTCACCACTTCCTGCAGCAGCAGGTCTGCTATAAATCCTGCAGTAACTGACTGGGTTTCATTTCCTCTGCCAGGGCTGTGAACCTGCAAGGCACGACACACTGACACTGGAGCAAGGAGCTGGGGATGTAATACACAGCTCCTGCAAGGCAAAAGTTAAAGTGCTTGTTCTCTCACTTGAATGATTTTAAAGATCTTTATATTCTATTTCCCAGGGGGCATAATTACTCAGTATAACATAGATGCTTCCACTTTTTTTTTTTTTTTGCTCCTAAAGGAATTGCATTTTTAAGTGGGGGAAGGGAAATTCAGTGCAGCTTCTTACACGTTTTACAGACAGGGCAACATTTAAATGCTTTAAAAACTTGGAATAAAACACACTAGACTTCCTTAGTTCAACCCACTGACCGGGAAACTGTGAAATAATTTTCCCAGAAGTAAAGCAACAGAAAACACTTTCTATTTCTAGAATTTTCAAGTCTAAAGCTAAGAATTAAATGCAACATAATCCTACCAGTCTCTAATAAAAAAAGGGGCACCAAATTTTAAAAACTTATTAGAATAATGTTTTTCTTTCTAGCAACTTATTTCCATTTTTTAAAGGACTTTCCATTTTTAAAGGACTTGCATTTTTCTTGAAAAGTTATGGGGGATTTGAGAAATTGCCAACTTAATTGGGAACAAAGCAAGCACTCTCCCTGCTCCATCAGAAAAGAGAAAGGAAAAGAAGCCAAGTGATGCATTGAGAGGTTCATGGAGCCTTGCAGGTAGGTGGGAACAGAACAAGTGGCTGCAGGGCAATCTGCCTGCTGAGCACACTGGGGAGAAGCTGATTTACACCCCAGGTCACAAGAGTTTATATCCCTTTCAGAAAGCATTTTGCTTTGCTTTTCCAACAGCCTCTTTCCTTCCTTCCAACTGTGTGTGCACGTGCCCTTCCCCTGCGAGAGCGCTCAGACCATGAAGGTTCAGTTCCTTCTCCTCCCCTCTTGCTGCCTGTCCTCAGGCACAGGAGCTCCAAAGGCTGGGTGTGCCCTGCCACAGAGCCCTGGTTTGTGCCACTTCATCCCACTGACCCCATGAGAAACTCACTCACCACACACCCTCTGCCACAGCAATTTCCCCCCGGTTCCCACTGCCTGTCTCGGCCATTTCACTGCTGCCATTATGACAGAACAGCAATTTTCAAAGTCCTGGTTCTCCCAACACTTCCACTGTATCTGTCAATTTCTATATGTGTATTCTATAATTCAATTGTGTAATTCTATATGGGTTTTTTTTTTGCTTTTTCCTATTTTGCCTGTTTTTTCTAACTTTTCATGCCTATTTCCCTTGCTCCAGACTCTCAGTCCCTAAAATCCTCTCCCCCTACTTCACCATTTTCTTATAATGCAGTTTATATATTAAGATGCAAAAATATATCACAGAACTGCACCAAGTATTAAGGAGCTGTATGACAAAATGTGCTTTTTTGGCATTAACAAATACTTTGCTGTGACCAGGTTACCTAATGCCAAGTGTCAAGGAAGAAAACACACAGTGATGGACTTGTTTGACTCTACACACGTTGTGCTACTAAATTCAAAGTGGTCCTGCTGACAGATAAAAGAATGATCTCCCTAAAGCAATTAAGTTGGTTTTTTAACTCTTGGCCACATCAGGTATTTGCTGTCCCTGCTCACTGCTGGGGGTTGGACTAAATGGCCTTTAAATGTCCCTTCCAAGCCCAAATATTCTGACTACAAAAAGTCTCATTTCAGTTTGCTCAGTAGTTCAAATGTTTCTTCCCAACTTTCACTCTTCTCATCCAGTCTCCATCAGAGTCTACAGAGCTCAACTTTTCAATATGAGACAAACTCAATGAGAGTTGAGATGAAATATGAGACTGTCACCCCTTAACAATTTTATACATAAACCCAAAAAAACTCTGTTCCCCAACTCTGCAATATTGTATTTAAAAAAAAAAAAAACAAAACCCAACAAAGAACACTTGAAGAATGAGGCTGTTTCTTTTCTGCCCCTGTGCAAGGGACTAAGAGAATTACAATTAGCCCCCAGTTCATCTCCTTTAAGGCAATTATCTAATTTGAAGGAGAACCAAGTTTCAGGAGTACATTTCACATCAGCCCTAAGAAAAGGTGGCAGCACTCCCTGGACAAAAAACGAGGCAAACAGACTAAAAATCAGCATGGAGATGCTTTCAAAGGGAGACCATGAGTCTCTGGGCTGATGGCTTCCTGAGGTGAAAGATAAGCAACAATTCAGGAAAACAAAAATGAGACACCAGAAATGAGATCTTGTGTATGAGAGACCTGCAGTAAACAGGCCCTGCTGTTTCCAAAACCTTTTGAGTAGTGTTTGAGAGATTAGACAGCAAATACTTTAATTTTTCAAGTATGATTAATGGAATCCATGATTACTTTAAGACATGCTCATTCAGTATGCACATTTGTGGTAATGATATCTTATTATTATGGTAATAGTGTTCTTACATAAACATGCATAATAGGTTTTAAAGGTGCTACACATGATAATTATTAGTTATCACAATGTCAGTTGCTTAAGGAAAATGTTTAATTACAGGTTAAACTGATCAGATGCATGTTTTGTTTAATGCATAGCTTTGAGGAAGAGATAAGAGAAGCATCTCGGGGCTTGTCCATGCAGTCTGGAATTAAAATTCCAAGGCAGAACTACAGTAATCCTTGTCTAGGCACAAGAGAGTTTCTTCAGGTGCTAGAAGAAGAAAAAAAATCTTGTTCTACAGATCTTAGATTATAAAGGAGTGAAACTGGGCTGAAAAGAACAAAGAATCAAAAGAGATTTAGCAAATAAAGGGAGATGGATGGAATTCTGAGAAAAATAAAAAGAGGATTATGGCAACAGGCAAGGGAGATCATTAGAGGTTTACAGCAAAGGCCACCTGTGGCAGCATGAAGAGAAGAGCTGGTGATGGCACTGACTGCAGGACAGGGACACGAGGGACAAGCAGGGTGCAGGACACAACTCCAGGTAAAGCCAAACTCCTACAAGCTCCAGTTCTGCTTTCTGTTCCAGGGAGCACAGGGAGCACAGGATCTGAAGAGTCAAGATAGCTGTTATCTGCAGAACATAGAGCTGTGAGGAAGAAGTCTCACTGCACACAGACACCAGGGATTTGATTGTTTTCAAGGAAGATTTCACATAAGCTGGAAGACAAAAATCAACCCAGTCACTGACAGTAAAAAACAAATGCAGGAATTGGAGGGTGGGGCACATCCAGCCACAAAATCCTCTCATTTTTCCCCCAGTGATGAAGAAAAAAAAAATTATGCTTCTGTATACTATGTCCATCAGCCAGCACTATGTAAGGAAAAAGGTTTAAAGACAGAGTGTTAATAGCTCAGACCTTCCCATCTGCCTGGTACTTCCCCCCTTACATGCAGAACTCTTGTTTTAGCAGTTATGTTAAAAAAGACCAAACAACTCAAAGAGAAATTGAAAATATACAAGTCAGCAATCTGCTCCTCATTCTGAATGATGGTGGTACTGCACACTCAATCATGGCAGGGGAATTACAGATCTAAAACACTCTGCAGATTATTGGCAAACATGGGAGTGAATGTCACTGCCCAGAGCAGCTGTGGCTGCCCCTGGACCCCTGGAAATGTCCAAGGTCAGGCTGGAAAGGGCTTGGAGCACCCTGGGACAGTGGGAGGTGTCCCTGGTTGAAACTGGCTGATCTTTAGGGTCCCTTCCAACCCAAACCATTCCATGGTTCTGTGAAAGATTCACACACTGGCAGCACAGCCTCCCAAAGCTGCAGTCAGTAAAATCTGTGGAATGGAAAGGGACTTTTCCTGCACAGGCACAAGCTCCAGCTTGCTTTTGTTTTTGTAAACAATAGAAGGATTATTTCTACTGGCTCATCAATTTGGCTTTGCATTCACAGATGCACACAAACATCCCCTGTTCTGAAGTACTCAGTGTAAACAAGGTGTAAGACACGGCAAAGCCTCCCTGGTATCTCCCCTGGCTCATCCTGGCCAAGTGGCAGCTCAGAGCTGCCAGGGCACAGGAGGAAAGGGACCAAGCAGGGGAGCCTCAGTGTCACAAACACTGACAGCAGCTCTGCTGGCCAGGCTGCTGCTTGAATGGGACCCAACTGACCTTGGAATGAA